AGTCTTCGACATCGAAAAGAAGAATTATTTGTCAATTTAAATCAACATTGATGTTGTCGTCTTACCAGGAAAAGATAGGCTTCTGATATCCAATATTTAAGACATAATAAACATTTTACCTTTAGTACACGAATCCTGTACCATAATGCGTTTCAGCGCCATTTGTAACAAGGGACTTGAAGAATGAGGCTAGTATATCCAGACGCTAGAGATTGACATCCGATTGAGACTTCTGGCGTATTTTGCCGAACATAACTGATTTGATTTGAAATTAGAGTATAAACAGAAATGATTGAATGTAAATCAGTTTATATATATTACATTATTATATGCATTGCGACCCATTTGTGTCAATTGCTAGGTCTCAAATAAAGGTGATTTAGCTCCTTTAACTATTAATAGGGCTAATTATTATTTATATATTTTTCAGTGATGATGCTCTGGAAATTACAGAAGAAAATTTCACAGTACAAACAGGAGTTCAACCTCCGAGACAAAATGTTTCAATACAAGACGAAAGTCTGCCTTCAAGTCAAACTGCTACCCAACATTCCAGTGAACGACCGTTGAGTCAAACGATAGCTCAAAATAGAACCATTCCAACAAGGACTCGACCTAAAAGTCAACCCACTTCAGAAGTTGTAAACATCAATAAATAAAACCAATCCAGTGAAATTAATTTGTGTAAAAAAAGATCATGTTTTTTATTGCAAATTTATCATTTACATGTAATTTACTTAGCCTTGAAAGAGCCTCTCAACTCAAAGCATAATGTACATATAATAAAATTAGCCTTTAAAGAACCCCTCAAATCAAACATATTACATAATGTACATGTAATAAGCCTTTAAAGAGCCCCTCAACTCTAAACATAATGTACATGTTATAAAATTAGCCTTTAAAGATCCCCTCAACTTAAACATAATGTACATGTTATATAATTAGTCTTAAGAGAGCCCCTCAACTCAACCATAATGTACATATAATATAATTAACCTTTAAATAGCTCCTTAACTCTAACATAATGTACTTGTAATGTATTAAAGATACATTCCTGTGTATAAACTTTGTGATTTGATGATATATTTGGAATAACAACATATTCAAAGTAACCAATCTATCAAAGATTTGCTTCAATTCCCTCTCAAAACTTTGTTTCGCAGGGGATACCTGTAGCTATATAAGTAAGCTGTTGTTAGACGTAATGTCTGTCAACTTAGCTTCATTGTGGGAGGGTCCATTTTTCAGATTGTATTTACTTACTGTACATTTACCATACATATTGAGGCCTAAGTAAATTCTTAATTATTTTTGTCAACTTCTTTTTCTGCCGTTTAATTGCAGTCTTTTGTACGTTGACACCCCTCAATGTTCACAAAACCGCCTAACCATTTGATCAAGAAATAATAACCGCTCCCTCACTTAAGCTGGCACACAATAAGCTGGCAGATAACAGTCGGGTTGCCAGTTAGTGATACCCTGACAATTTTGCCTAGTGCTTGCCCCATGGGCGTTTTTCGGTAATCCAGTATTTTTCTAGTAAGATTGGGTGTCTATGTATACTTTCCATATATACCAAATTTGACATGCTTTTATTGGAAATAACCTCCCGATAAATACTTTTCTGGGAAAGTATCTTTAATAGCCCTTTTGCATCTCTGGACTTTGATGAAATCTGGAGGTGACCTTAATATTTAGATCTGACCTCCGAATGCAGACAGCATATACAATGTAGTCCAAACCAACCAGTGCAACCTATAATATTTGTTCTGATTGAATCCAAGCCAGATAATTGTCTACCAGTGATATATAATTTGATTTTGTTTTCTTAATTAAATGTTAAATAAACTGTTTATTTTAGTGTGCATTAAGCTAGAGACATACATGTGATGTGCAGAGACTATAAATGAAATGAAATGGGGTTTAATGTCCTACTGTTCTGCTCCTACTGGGCTCATGAGAGAGAGAGAGAGAGAAATGGGGTTTAACATCCACTCGACACAAACTAGGTCATTTCCAGACTAACAAATGGTTCAATTTTATTTCAATAATTCGCTTGCGTGTAGGGGTCTTTAGCAGTAGGAGGAAACCGGAGGACCCGGAGAAAACCCACAAGGTTGGACATGCGACCCTACTCCTTGTCACGTACAACCAGGGATTCAAAACCACGCCAGTCGACTCAATGACAGACTTTATGATACAGCGCGCACACGCTAACCATTCAGCCATCCAACCCCCCCTGGGCTAATGAAGACGGGGCAGAGACTGTAATAGCCTTTTAAGGGTCCAGGGGTTGGTTGAGTGACTGAATGGTTTAACGCATGATCTTTAGATCATAAGGTCTGTCACTGAGTCAAGTGGTGTGGTTTTGATTCCCCGGTTGTACGTGTACATAACAAGGAGTAAGGTTGCCTGTCCAACCTCGTGGGTTTTCTCTGGTTTCCGCACACTGCTAAACCCCTATGCACAAGCGAATTATTGAAATAAAATTGAACCATTTGTTAGTCTGGAAATGACCTAGTGGAAGTTAAATCCTATCTCTCTCTTTAAGGGTCCCTCCAATCATACATTATGTGCTGCTTAAACATACATTATGCAAGAGGTAAATCTGCCTATTGTGTAGGTCTTTCTTTAGGCCTGAAATATTATATAAACTATTAATTCGACAATTAATTAGATCATAATTAACTCGATTCCATCTTATCTTTCCAATTTTCTTTGGATTTGAATTTAATCTGCTGTTCAAAGTCTGTTGATGATTAAACCAAAAAATGGATAATCAAGACTTTGTTAATTATCGGGATAACGGTAACAATGACAATCAAGGCTACAGAGATTTTAAAATAAGGTTTTCTCAGGTTAGCGTGAAGCAGTTTGACTGAAATTTTCAGCATAATCCATTTACATCATCTAGTTTTTAACTATTATAGTAAAAACTACCAGCTCTTTATCTAATCTCCCATAATGTATCTTTACATTATCTAGTTTATAACTATTATAGTGAGAACTGCCAGCTCTTTGTCTGATCTCCCATAATGTATCTTTAATTGAATTATGGTCACTACATCCAACATGACCAATAATAAATGAAATGGGGTTTAACATGTTACACTGACTGGCCCGAGTTCACAAAACATTCTCAGACTTAAAGGAGCTAAATCGCTAATATTTGGTACCTAGAAATTGACACAAATGGGTCGCAACGCATATAATAATGTAATATGAATGTATATAAACTGATTTACATTCAATCATTTCTGTTTTTACTGTAATTTCTAATCAGTTATGTTCGGCGAAATGCGCCAAAGTCTCAATTAAATGACAATCTTTAGCGTCTGGTTATTCCAGTCTACACCGACGATATTTATTGCGCATGCTCTCCAGATAAGAATATAGCGTCACCATTCGACATGACTTGTGGAGTATGTCTAGCCTCGTTTTTTGAGTCCCTTGTTCCAAATGGCGCTGAAACGCATTATGGTACACGATTCGTGTACCAATGGTAAAATGTTTATTTTGTCTTGAATATTGGATATCAGAAGCCCATCTTTTCCCTGTAAGATTACAAGACCAATGTTGATTTGAATTGACAAATATTTCATGTTTTCAATGTCGAAGATTTTTGATGATATTGAGTTAGAGACTTAGCTACTTTAAGTTAAGAATTTACTCAACTTTCAATCACTGTTTATGAAAAATATCTTTGATCCAGAAACACAAAACTTTGATACATTAAAACAAGTTTTATAAAAGGCTATATTTTAGATACATTTTTAGTAAATTGTTAACTTAAGTCTGAGAATGCTTGGTGGACTCGGGGTCAGGTCTCATAAAGATGGGCGTTCACCATACAGTGTGCTATCAAGCAAATTTTGTCTGGACAGCGGCACTACGACCTACTCTCGTTTCAAATTCCACACCAATGTGTACACAGGACCTCAGTTTTCCATCCCATCCGAAAGACTATGCATTTTACCTTGCCAGACCCTCCCTCCTGCACCACTGACAAGGGGGAACCCCACCAGAAAATTGTGATGAACTTTCTCAACATCTTACTCACTGAGCCACCGTGGATCCCTTAACAAAGGCTCCGCGCCCCCAAAATACTTTTAACGTTATTTCATGTTTGAGTGGTTCGCACCACAAACTATTTTTTACCCCGTGTTGCTCACTTCTTCTTATGGGCCGTTTGTTCGTGATCGAAATAAGCTGTTTGTTTAGAGAAAGAGAGAAATGGGGTTTAACTCCACTCGACACAAACTAGGTCATTTCGGGACTAACACATGGTTCAATTTTATTTCAATAATTCGCTAGCGCATAGGGGTCTTTAGCAGTGGGAGGAAACAGGAGAATCCGGTGAAAACCCAAGAGATTGCACAGGCGACCCTATTCCTTGTCACGTACAACCGAGGAATCGAAATCACGCGTTAACTCAATGACACACCTTCTGTTACAGCGCGCATGTGCTAACCATCAGATTGGGGCTGATGTAGACCAAGTCGAAGCAGGTTTACATGTAGTACATTTGCAATTAAGCAAGTTTATTCATTAAAAAATTGACAACTAGGACACGAATATAGCCAATAGAAAGCCAGCATCATAGGAGGACCGCGCCATAGACAAAACCGATAAGTGAAATGGAGTTTAACAACGTCCTACTGTTCTGCTCCGACTGGGCTAATGAAGACGGGCATATGCCATACAGTGTGCTATAAGGGAGATTTTGCCCGGGCAGCGGCGCTACGGCCCACTCTTATATAAAATTCCAACTGTCAAGGGATCTTTAATGTGCCAATGTGTACACGGGACCTCGGTTTTGCGTATAATTTTAACGACTAGACAGCGGTCCTTGTCAGGTCCTGCACTACTGGATGAACTTTCTCGGCCAACACAGGGATTGAACACAGGACCCGCAGGTTACCGAGCCAACGTCATACCCACGGAGGCACAAAACAAAAGAACAAACTATATACAGGCTACTGTAAAAATTAAAACAAAAATACGATAAAGACAATTTTTTATATTAAAAATACAGTGGTATAAACTACAGCAGTGGTCTTCAACCTTTTTGGCCAACGGCACACCTTGGAACACATGAAAAAAATAGCGGCATACCTGGCTAAATATATATGAAAAATATTTGAATTTTGCAAAATAAAAACATAGTAAGTCAGACGGCATACAACCGTAGAAAGAGACTAGTCATAGACACATGGAATGACTCAAACTAAATAAAAAAAAAACCACAGCTATGAACTTATCAGTAGACACCAGTGAATACTCAATTGGGATCACTAGGTTTTTTTTGCATTTTTCTTAAGTTTGGTACACATAGGAGGATCTCGCGGCACACCAGAACACACTAGTTGAGAATCACTATAAACTACAGGATGTGAAGAAAGGGTTTATGAAAATATTTGAATTTTTCAAAATAAAAACATGGCAAGTCATAGACGGCATACAACTGTAGACACAGACTAGTCATAGACACATAGAATGACTCAAACTAAATAAAAAATAACACAGCTATGAACTTATCAGTAGACACCAGTGAATACTCAATTGGGATCACTGTTTTTTTTTTTGCATTTTCTTAGTTTGGTACACAGAGGAGGATATCGCGGCACACCAGAGCACACTAGTTGAGAATCACTATAAACTACAAGATGTGAACAATGGTTTTATGAAAATATTTGAATTTTTCAAAATAAAAACATGGCGAGTCATAGATGGCATACAACTGTAGATACAGACTAGTCCTAGACTCATAGAATGACTCAAACTAAATAAAAAAAAACACAGCAGTAGACACCAGTGAATACTCAATTGGGATCACTGTTTTTTTTGTGCATTTTCTTAAGTTTGGTACACATAGGAGGATTTCGCGGCACACCAGTAATCACTATAAACTAGAGGATGTGAAGAACGGGTTTATAAAAATATTTAAATATTTCAAAATAAAAACATTTAAATAAATAAAAAAACACAGTTAAGAACTTATCAGTAGACACCAGAGAATACTCAATTGGGATCACTGTTTTTTTTATTTTTTTGGCACCCCATAGGAGGATCTCGCGGCACACCAGAGCACACTAGTTGAGAATCACTATAAACTACAAGATGTGAAGTACGGTTTTATTGACAACAATAAGACATTTACTATACAGGCTAATGTAAAAATAAACAGTATATAATGATACTGACATGTATATTTATAACATTACTACAGGCTTGTCTTACTCTTAGGCAAATTCCAGGCAACACAGAGAACTTGACATCGCCTTGATGCCAGCATTGTTCTTTGGGATGCTGTGGGGCTCAAACTTCCAGCAAAAAAATGTCTCTGGACAGTTTAATTACAATCAGACCTGTCATGGGTTTGGGTTCTTTTACATTTTTTGTCCCATCTGAACGACTAGGTGCTGTTCGTGGCCAGATCCTGTACCACTGACAAGGGAAAAACACGCAGGAAAGTCCTGATGAACTTTCTCAGCCAACACCAGTAGCGAAGCCAGGACCTCCACGAAGCCAGGCCCTCCTGCCACCCTGGCTCCATCTACTGGCCACCAAAAGACATTTAGATCTATATTAAAATCAGATCAATGGAGGAAGAGAAAAAATAATATTAGGAATACATTTTTATCTTTTATTTTAACAAACTGGCCGCTCATTCACTTATTGTATATTAATATTACCATTAAGTTAGTATAAATAAAATAAAGCCAACAAAACAAGTATGGCCGTAATATATGAACGAGGAACCAATCGAGTATTTTTTTTTTTGGAGAGAGTGGTTGAGGGAGAGTGCCATCCCCAAGAACAAGGTTAATAAGGGTGGGTGGGGAGACACCCCAAAGAACAAGAGGCGGGGAGAAGCTGTGCTGCCTTCAAGTACAAGATTATTAACAAAAGGGGGGGGGGGCGTCACCCTTAAGAACAAGAAGAATATCAAGACATGGCGGGGTGAGAGAGTCACAATCCCACGAATAAGAAGGGTACCAAGTCATGTGTCAGACACAAGAACAAGAAGAATACCAAGGGTAGAGTTCCCTCATGGAAAATAGACCAAAATCAAATTTTGAACAGGCTTTTATGCAGAACGAAATTATAAAAATAATTGATTGCAATCATTTTCTTCTCAATTTATTATATATCTTTTTTTTATCTTAAGGTCAAACACCATTTTTTTTAATTGATGTCCAACTTTACGAAGACATAAAATGAAATCCCAAGCAAAAACAGTACCGTATAAAAATAATATTATTCCTATTAGTTTTGCAATAAATTGGGTCCTCAAATTTAAAGAGAGCTAGATGTCAGATGATGTCATATTACAAACTATACCAATGTGACGTTGAAAAACCACAACAGTGGTTTGGGATAAAAGTGTTTTACTGGACAGATTTCTTTTTGTTGCAAGGTTTTATTGTTGTGCAATGATCGATAATTGAATAAGCAAGGGCTCGCTTGTGAGTAGGACTACCGTATAATTCTTTGGTCAAGTCTTGCTTGGTGAACATACATACATGTAGGCTTTGAACGATATAAAGTATATAAATTTATCTAGCTGAGCACCCTCAAGTACAGTTAACTTGGCATAAGTCGGATCTAATTTGACTGATCAATTTTATCCGAGTTAAACAAAGATTCGGGTTAGGCGAAGACCGAAATTCAATCTTAGCTCGATTAGAAATAAACTGCAAGAGCCGGATTTCAAGCTTTTATTCTTATGTGCGAGTAGATAACTTGCGTTTTGGTGCGAGTAGATAACTTCGTTTTGGTGGATGTAGATAACTTCTGTTTTGTTGCCAACTTTGAAAAATGTCCTAATTTTTCCAGTAAAGTGTCTCGTACAGCAGACAGTGAGTTTCAAATTTTCCAGGAAAATTCTATTATTGAATCGCATCAAATTCGGCCGATTTGAGTCAAAATGATAGAGAAAAGTATTTTGGGGCTCTGTGCATGGAATACATTGTACCTAACTGCATTTTAGACCATCGGGACGAAACTGACCTGGTCAAATTCTGAACATACTACCGATCCAACTTGGGCGAAGGAAAAGTCAGAATTACATCAAATGGACTGAACATTTTGATCCGAGCTGAGCAAAGATCTGACTTCGGAAATCCGACTTACGTGCAGGATCAAAGGGTCCAATCAATTTTATCAGAGTTGAACTAAGATCCGACTTATGCAAAGTTTACTGTACATTAAATTATTGACATTAATTTCATCAAGTATATTATGAGTAGGATTAGGCCCTACGTGATATTTAAATAAGCAGTTATCTTCCCTTTGTTTAACAGTGCATATGCAGCTCTAATACCTCAAATGGTATACAAGTTCAAAGAAATAGCACTATAAATTTATTAAAGGGACTTAATTTATTAAAGGGACTTAATTTCTTCATCCACGGCCAACTTTACCCAGTTTCTGGTCAGTCCTAGGGTCAGCCGTTATTGCCTGAACACTAACAATGGCAGAATTGATATTATTCTGTAGATCTCTCAGTTCTTTAATATGTAACAATCGTATAATTTTGGCCGCTTCGTTGATTATATAGTCTTTGGTTTCAAAACCTAACACAGTTTCAGCAATTGGAATATATTCGTCCTTTGTACTTCCACTACTTTTGTTCTGTAAGCTGGACATTCGGTCTTGAATTAATAACCCAATTGCTTTTAACATCACAAGGTGATCAGAATGAGGTGGGATTTTTAACAACATAGAAAGGGATGTAACTCCTGCTTTGAAATCTGGATCATTGAAATCTAACCGATCCATAGGATTATCAGAAATTAGAGCTTTGCTTCCATTTGATTGTTGAACAACCGCTGGTGTAATTGCTTTATATTTGTCAACATTGTCCCCATAATCAAGTCTAACCGCGTAGCCTAGCAACCAATCGATAACAGACGACTTCATACTTTCTTCATAAGTAAATGGACAATTCAGTTCAGTTAAATACTGTTTCAGATGATTATCCCATGTTGGTTCATTAATGCCTCTTAGACCAGCCCGTTCTTCTATTTTAAAGTGTCGGATTTTCTGGTCTTCCAACCATACCACCAGGTTTCTGAACTCCATTCCATCTTCAATATTGAATTCTTCTGGTCTAGGATATTCTAATGCAAGAAGTTTTCGTCTAAACATATTCCCTGACCGAAAACTGTAATCTATTCAAATGTTTTAAGTTATGACAAGCTTTACTTATTACGAAATTATTCTTTTTATATTAAATTGCTGACTCCTTCTCTGAAACCGGTCGAAGACAGGGGATTGTGGGTAACACGTGTTGCCAATCGGTGTCACACTGATCCGCAGTGAATATTCGCTTGGCCGCTACAATCACTGATAAGGATGACATCGATGCGACTTAATGACTACAAAATATTAACTTTTTTCTTTCGACAAATTAAATTCTGAAACATTTTTTTTTAGTATTAGAAAAATAAATAAAGGTGTTTGAATTGTATCTTGATAAAAAAATATTCCATATTTAGCGTAAATAGGTACAGAAAATAGTACGCGGAGGCGTAAAATGGGTAAAACGATATAATTCTGCCCGTACCAGTTCATATTACTACGCTCGATGTAAACAACGCACGTGTGACCATCAATTTGACGTTTTTTTTCTGTTTGTTTACTCTGAATTCTTTCAGAAGTACATTTTTACCGTCTAATCTGATTGACCTGCTCGTGTTTGTTTTAAAACAACAAAACAAGCCACAGAAGTAATCTTTTTTTGGCGTTATCGATGCCATCTTGTTTTGTTGGTAAACATTGTGATGTGACGTCACCCTTAGAACTACAGCGGTCTGACCTTTTAAAGGTCAGTCATCTTGGACAGAGATAAAAGACGGATGTCGCATTAGGTCTGTAAAACAGATTGAATCGGTGTATCGAGTCAGTTTTCATGTTAATAAGTTCCCACACCAAGGGAGGCAACTCCATTTTAAACTCTATGGAAGCAGCCCACCATTACTTTCCACAGAGACTTTTTGAATGTTAATTCGGGTCTCTGCATGGCCCAAACTTTTTCCAAATTTACGTTGCGCTGAACCTAGTTATACCCCCACCTTTAAACCTATAATATTTACCAATATCTGAGAGAGAGAGAGAGAGAGAGAGAGAGAGAGCGAGCTACAAAAAGAAAAAAGTTCTTGTCCTCCCTATGCCCCCTATTCCTTCATATATAGAGGTGTACAAACTGATAAGCAGTGAATATTTGCTAGGTGGCTACAATGACATTGTGCGAACTAATTAGCTCAAGATATTAACATTTCTTCAATTCTAAAATAATGTTTGGAAGTAATAGAAAGTTAAATAAAGGTCTTTGAAGTATATCTGGATAAATAATATTTCCTAGTTGGTGTAAATGGGTATATAAAATATTATGCGAAGGTGTCAAATGAGTAAAATGTACCATTCTGCCTGGATCAGTTTACGTTACTATGTCCTATGTAAACAATGCACACAATGATGATCAAAGCCATTTGATGCGAGGTCACACATAGAATGCATGTGAACTTATAGAGGTCAGTCATCTTACACAGAGTTACAGAGAGAGAGAAATGGGGTTTAACGTCCACTCGACACAAACTAGGTCATTTCGGGACTAACATATGGTTTAATATCAATAATTCGCATGTAGGGGTCTTTAGCAGTGGGAGGAAACCGGAGGACCTGGAGAAAACCCACGAGGTTGGACAGGCAATCGTACTCCTTGTTACGTACAAACGAGGATTCGAAACCACGCCAGTTGACTCAATGACAGGCTTTATGATACAGCGCGCACGTGCTAACCATTCGGCCATCCAACCCCCCTACAGAGTTACAAGGCTTTCACAATACTTCTGTGAAACAGATTGACTTGTGTGCTGTAGTTTATTTTATTATTCAGTAAATATTTACAGCAAACATGAATTTGTGTTCAATTTGTTAGATCCCATTTATTTAATTCAAGATTATATCATATTCACCACAATATTTATGACTTAGTCTTCATGAATGTTTAAAATGAAATGAAATAAAATGGGGTTTAACATCCTACTGTTCTGCTCCGACGGGCATACGCCATACAGTGTGCTATGAGGGAAATTTTGCCCAGGCAGCGGCACTATGGCCTACTCTTATATCAAACTCCAACTTCCAAGGGATCTTTTACGTGCATGCCAATGTATACACGGGACCTCGGTTTTCCATTCCATCTGAACGACTAGACAGCTGTCCTGCACCACTGAATAGGGGGAAACCACGTCGGAAAAATCCCTGATGAACTTTCTCAGCCAATGCAGAAATCGAGCACTCGACCTCCAGTCTAGCGAACCTCACTTGTTTGAAGGGGAGTCAAGAGGCTAGTAAATATCTACTATCTATATGAAAACTTCAACCCATGGCAACTATATTCACTGTACAAATGGTATGGATAAACCAAACCTCACCAAAGCCAGTCTTGAAACGGCCACTCAACTCAAACAGATATTTTGGTACAATTTATTTTCAATAATTCCATTGTACATAGGGGTCTTTGGCAGTGGGGATGAAACTGTTTCTGTAATACTATAGGGGTTATTTTAGTTCTATGAAAGGTGCTATTTTTAGTATATTAAAGTGGTTAAACACATGGGTGACAACGAGGAATGGGCTAAGTAGGTATTTTGCAAGATTCAACTTTCTTAGACTAACTCACAGACAGTTCTATCGTCAAGTCATCTCGTGCACAGATTATTCCAATTAAATAAAATAATGTTGACGTAAAACGGGGCCCATACGAAACACTTATCCAAAAATGGTAATTGCCCCGCCAAAATAGCTGATGCATCTATACTATCTAAATAAGAGAGAGCAGGGTTACATTTCCCTTCAGACATCATGTGGGCTTCCAAGAGAGATATACCGTTACCCGCTTAGGATTAGAGACCGGGATACCGACATCATACAGGGTTCCTAGAGCATACTCTCAGCCTCTGGTTCGAGGTCGGGATAGAGACAATGTAGTGTTTCAGCCGTTAGGTCTGAGTTCTAGGCTTGTTAAACTCAGACTGTAGATATTATAATAACTCACAACGGACTATCATTGATGTTGTAGTTTCATGTATTTTATATATAAACATAGTTATAATAACACAGTGTCCAAGAGTTAATTGTTCATATACACAACTTGGAAGTCAGAGTCAATTCATCTATTTAAACATACATTATATGCAAGAGTTAAATCTACCTACTGCAGGTCTTTCTTTAGGCCTGAAATGTCATCTCAATTATTAATTAGACATTAATTAACTTATTCAGACCATAATCAACTCTCGATGCCATCGTTAGCATGCAATATTTACTTGATTTGAAGTAACAATTACTATGCTTTTTTTGTGTATATGCTTGATAACGACTTGTGAAATCTTGTTGAAACGTCGCAGTGAAATAAACCATAGTAATTGTTATTCCATAAATATTGTGTTATTTGATTGTGTTCCAATTACTAAATGCCATTCAATGAATATATCCGACATCAATATGGAGATGTGGCCGTCAACCTTATTAATAAATCATTGTTATCCATAAAAAGATTGTTATTTAATTATGTTCCAATTACTAAATGCCATTCAAAGAATGCAACAGATGTATTGACTATAAGAATCAAAAACTTTTTAATGAAAGCAAAGTCGCAATTTTTGTACGATTCATATCAAAGACTCTAACAATATGAAAATAATGTCTTTAAGCACTATATCCAAATACTTTATAAAAAAAACAAGTTATAACAGCACAAAATCTACATATAAGTTGGTTTAAAACACTGGATGATAAAATGTTTATATTACACGGCTGGTCGATACTGTCTACGTTTTTTACGTTTGGCTATAATTACTTCTTCATCTTCCTCAACCTCAACAGGTTTCACTTTTGGTGCCTTTTCCTTGGCAATAATGATTTCATCTCTAAGTTCAAAGAAGCGCAACATTTCTTCTTTTTTCTGTAAGTCCTGTAGTTTCATTTTAAGTTCCTCTTCCTTTTGTCTGCGAGTGAATTCCCAAATTTGTCTTTCTACTAAAGTCTCCCGTTCTTTTGTCCAAGTAGAAATTAGGTTTGTTTGTTTTTCAATGTCTGATTGTTCATGCTGTGATATTTGTGACTTGGTGAAATTTTCCACAATATTTTGTAGATCTTCGTCTTTAACTTTTTCTTGAATCCGCGATTTTATTTCCTTAAACAGAAAAAAAACCCCAAATGTTTAGCATTTGATATCTTCAATATCTCAGACAGTCAAAAAAGACTCCTAAAATGATGGAAATTTCCAAACTGATCCAGTAAATTTTCGATTATAACTCACATTAGTAATAGTGTCCTTGAAAGGCATTTAGTGAACGCGATATATAATAAACATACCAATTTATGGATAACATTCACTCAGTTTATTAACTGCAACGTTTCAGTATCCTCAATGAAACGTTGCAGTTAATAAACCGAGTGATATTATCCATAAATTTGTCTGTTTATTAGTATTAGTATTATACAACGATTGGGAAATATTCTTTTATTGTTAATTCGTTTTTCATTTTGATTGAAATCAGTATCACTACATTCCCGGGACTGTACAGTGCAGTGGATGCTTACGGCTAGCCCCCGGGTTCCATTAACTTGATCTGATATGTAACGCTTGTTGTTTGTGGTGTCTGTATATTGTGTCTTGTCCGTGGACTTGTCTTTTATATTTTGTTTGTGTGTGGTGCAGTCTCCCTGCACTTCAATCTGATTAAAATAAATAGAGGATATTTGTCGTTTTGTCGTGAATAACATATTTTATTTCATCGAGAAGCAAGAAAACTTATATTTTCACGAATGCGTAGCATGAGTGAAAATATAAACGTTTTCTTGCTTAGAGATGAAATAAAATATGTTATTCACGACAAAACGACAAATGTTCTATTTATTTTATGATTTTACAATCAATTTAAGGTAAAAACAACATGGACTACTGCTAGCCAGTGGAATAACACTTTTATTTCACTGATAAAACGCGGTGTTCCACTACTGATCATAAAATAAAGATCTATATTTAGTTTTGTTTTTTTTATACTTTCAATGGCCTATACACTACATGAAGATCTCACCAGTTGGTATACAGACAACTCATTCCAAAGACAACTCATCCCAATATAAAACAACTCATCCCAAGATAAAAGACAACACATCCCAACTTTAAAACATGGGTCGAGATATAAGTTAATACAATTGCTTTCTTTGAAGACTACTCAGACCATTCTGATTTTGTTATAAAAAGGTGTTATCTTAATAAAATTGATTTTGTTGTTTTAATAAAATCAATATTGTTGTTTTAAATTTTAAGTTATTTTAAGTTCTGGGCGCTCCGTATACTTATAGCGTACACGTTTCAATTCCATTTTTGAACCATACATGCGACTGAAAATGTTGGCCCCAGTCGTGCTGATTGTTTCCATATCATTGTCTGATAAAAATTCGTCAGAATATGACATTAGATCCTTATCTTTATGTATGAGTTTCAGTATGGCTAATATCTTGGGATGAGTGGGATGAGATGTCTTGTTTTGGGATAGGTCACGTCACAGGTCATAGGAGCGGCTTTTGACCCTATGTCAGACATTTGATTAACCAATCAGTATTGATGTTACGAGTGGATTACCCACAGTTCCGTGCAAAACATGCCTAAAGCTCGCTGTAACAGACCGTTTCATTGTCTAATTCCTTAAACCATTCAGAACACGTCAATGATAACTCTACCAGATCCTAGCGTAGTAAAGACAAGTAAAGGGAAATTTTGAACTATAAAAAACAAAATGAAATAGGATCTGTGTTTTTATCAGATTGACACAAACACAAAATAGTTTTATTCAACAGGGGCAGATAAACATGCATGAACTACACTAGGATCTGGAAGAGTTGTTATATAACACACGTTCCAGTTCATGTTAGGCATTAGCCAATGAAATGGTCTGTTTCATCGAGGCCTTGGCGTACGGTGCACAGAATTGCAAGTATCCCTCTAGTAACATCAACTCTGATTGGTTAATCAAATGTCTGACATCATAGGGTCGAAAGCCACTTGTATGACCCCCTACACAACCTCCCAGTAAAACTGATCAGATCTTCATGTAGTGGAGGCCATAGAAAGTATAAAAAAACGAAACGAAATATAGATTTGTATTTTAATCAGATTGCCGTACACTTGATAAAACCTACGTTTAATTGTTGAATAAAATTATCTTTTTCATCTGCCGTTAATCTGAGAAGTTTTATTTCATCATCAATAGATCGTAAACCCATATCGATTTCTGGTTCTTCATCAGGTCGTGTCTCCGCTTTCACTAGACTTTCTTCAAACTTTACAACCTGTCGGACAACAAACAAAATATGAGAGAGAGAGAGAGAGAGAGAGAGAGAGAGGTAGGGAGAGAGAGATAGAGAGAAAGAGAGGGAGAGATAGAGGGAGAGAGAGGGATAGAGAGAGAGAGAGAGAGAGGGATAGAGAGAGAGAGAGAGAGAGAGAGAGAGAGAGGGATAAAGAGAGAGAGAGAAAGAGGGAGAGAGAGAGAGAGGGGGAGAGGTAGGGATAAAGAGAGAGAGAGAGAGAGAGGGATAAAGAGAGAGAGAGAGAAAAAGAGGGGGGAGAGAGAGAGAGAGAAAGAGAGGGAGAGAGAGAGAGAGAGGGGGAGAGGTAGGGATAAAGAGAGAGAGAGAGAGAGAGAGAGAGAGGGATAAAGAGAGAGAGAGAGAAAAAGAGGGGGGAGAGAGAGAGAGAGAAAGAGAGGGAGAGAGAGAGAGAGAGATGGGTCTACACAAACCAGGTCATTTTGGGACTAACATACGGTACATATGGTTCAATTTTATTTCAATAATTCGCTTGCGCATAGGGGTCTGTAGCAGTGGGAGGAAACTGGAGGTCCCAGAGAAAACGGGCGAGATTAGACAGGCGCCCTACTCCTTGTCACATACATCCGGGGAATCGAAACCATGCCAGTTGACTCAATAAGTTTATAAAGCAAGTCTGAGAGCCCCCTTAAGAATAGTTTAAAAAAAAAACGATGAAAAAAAAAAAATGAACAAACCGCTTCTTTCAGTAAAAGAATACCAGGTTGATCTTTTTCCCAATTTTCTAATAATTTGATAGCTTTTTCAAACTTCTGATACATTCCAAGACCCATGAACTGTAGACTTCTTCCCAGGACTTCATCTTGACAAGTTTTACCCAATATGTATAGGGTTTTTCCCATCAGAAAGCGTTCATCTTTTATATCAAAATGGTCGTCATAGACGGGGAATCGGATATATTTCACTGGAATCCAATCTTCTTCCTGGAAACAATGTAAAAATTAAATTAAAAAAAACATGATGAAACGGTCGAATCGGGAGTACATCAGGCTCCTTTATAGGCAGTGAATTAGTTATCCTCCACCCCACCCCACCTCACCTTTATTTCCAAATAAAACAAAACATGAGAATTAGGAGGAATATGTCCGACCCTGTAATAGACGTTTAATGAGTTATCGCCAAACCTCACCGTTATAACCCAACAAAATAAAAACATTGCAATAGGCAGTGAACAAGTTATCTCCAACAAACCACCCAGTGGGAGTAAACAGGAGGACCCGGAGAAAACTCATGAATTTGGACAGGCGACCCTACTCCTTGTCACATACAACCGGGGAATTGAAACCACGCCAGCTATAATGTTCTGCACTTGGCATATACTTCAAGACCGCCTACCCTGGATTGAAAATAATTATTTAACTTAGAAAGCGAGACTGAAAAAGGGGAATGATTCATATAAGGTTAAAAACCACTAGACTATATACCTCATCAGGATCAACTTGTTTTTCTTCTTGAGGATCAAGACTAATACTGGTATAATGTTGACTACAACCATATAAGGATAAGAGGTAAGTTACTGGATGACTGAAATCTTCTTGTAACATCATCTCATATGCCACTTGTGCTGCATCTAAAAAGAGAGATGGAGAAATGGGGTTTAACGTCCACTCAACATAAACTAGATCAGTTCGGGACTAACATATGGTTCAATTTTATTTCAATAATTCGCTTGCGCGTAGGGGTCTTTAGCAGTGGGAGGAAACCGGAGGACTCGGAAAAAAGCCACGAAGGTTGGACAGGCGACCCAACTCTTTGTCCCCTACAACTGGGGAATCTAAACCACGCCAGTTGACTCAATGACAGACTTTATGATACTGCGCACACATGCTAACCATTCAGCCATCCAACCCCACCCCACGTGCTGCATCTAAAACAAACAAAATTAAAACCAGGTTTAATGTCCTACTGTTGTGCACCAACCACAGAAAGAGAGAATTTAATGTCCAATTCAAACTAACTTGGTCATTTCAGGACAAATATATGGCCTAATTTTATTCCAAAAAAATGAATTTCATTTCCATGTGCAATGAGGTGGGACCAGTTTTCCATGGACAATGTCGTTTACGACTTATCTTCTTGAAAATCATAATTGTGAAGGTTTTTTTCGGTGTTCTGGGGGAGGAGAGACTTTATTATACATGTCAGGTACAAGGTTCGAAATACAACTAAAATCCTTATTTCTGGGACTGAATAAAACCTTCAGAGTTATAAATATAGTGAAATCTGTGTCAGTTTACCTTGATATTTATTTTCTTTGATTAAATGATCCAGTAAAAAACAAACACCATGATTATTGGGAAATATCCCATAATTCCACTGAAAGAAAAGGAAAAACAATAAACACCTGTTTATTTATTGAGTTTTAAATCTGCCTTGTGTCCGATAACAGAAATATTAACATTAAGAGTTACTTCCCCTGGAGTTTTAATCAGCTTGTTAGAGTGAGAAATGGGGTTTAATATCCACTCAAACTAGGTCATTTCGGATCTTTAGCAGGACCTGGAGAAAATCCACAAGGTTTGGGTATCAGATAAATATTAACATTTTGATTTTATTTCCCATATGTTTGTAAGAATCAGAAGCTGATGAATTAATATAATAAAGAAATGAAATGAAATGGGGTTTAACGTCCTACTGTTCTGCTCCGACTGGGCTAATGAAGACGGGCATACGCCATACAGTGTGCTATGAGGGAAATTTTGCTCAGACAGCGGCCTACTCTTATATCAACTTCCAACTGTCAAGGGATCTTTTAAGTGCACGCCAATGTGTACACGGGACCTCGGTTTGTTGTGCCATCCAAATGACTAGACAGCTGTCCTTGTCAGACCCTCCATCCTGCACGACTGTCAAGGGGAAACCACATCGAAAAATCCTGATGAATTTTCTTAGCCAAAGCAGGGATCGAACACCCGACCTCCAGGCTAGGGAGTCAGCGTCTTACCCACTTAGCCAACATGACCAAAGTTGCTACAGTTTGCTTTTCAGGATACATGTATCTGAATGAAATTTGGAACAGATATAGCCTCCGTAAAACCTCTCTTCCTCAGGAGTTGCTTGACAAGATGCCCTTTTTAACACAAGAGTTTATTTACCTTATCTTTCATAAGTAATATTAATCTATCTGTTAACCCTAGGTCAATATACGCTCTTACTACAGCATAAACAATAGAATCATTAACAGGTACGCTATCAACAGATCTTCTAAACCTATAAAATAACATCATTATACCATGGTTACATGTAAACAATAGAATCATGAACAGGTACGCTATCAACAGATCTTCTATACCTATAAATAATATATCATCTATATACCATGGTTACATGTGAACAATAGAATCATTAACAGGTACGCCATCTATTACATTTCCTAACTACTTGTGCCTTCTTCAATTTACTAGCTTTAGAATTTCAGAAAGCATTTTTCGGGTAGCATCATCCCTTAATTGTACGTCAGCGCAGTAATAGTTGAGCCAATATGGTTTTGGTACAACTGCATTATAGTGTAACTACTTATTCAATTCTCTATCTATACTATACCTATGAAGTATTTCTTCCATAAATTCTGCATTCGTAACTTCCATTTCATGTAATCTATTGGCTAACTATAAAATATAAAATACATTTCATGTAATCTATTGGCAAACTATAAAATATAAAATGCATTTCGTTAAAAACATTCTCCTTATTTATCATCATTGTACAGCTATGAACACTTCACATTTTTCATTAGTTTTAACATCCCAGTGTTCTGCACCGACTGAGCTAATCAAAACAGGCATACACCATGTGATGTCCTATGAGGGAAATTTTATCTGGACAGCATCATTTAGCCATATAGCCTCAATTTCTCGTACCACTAGCCAATGAAAAGGTCTGTTACAGCAAGTTCTTGAGGTGCGGCGCAAAGAACTGTGGGTATACCACTTGAAACATCAATGCTGATTGGTTGAAGGAATGTCTGATGTCATAGGGTTAAAAGTCACCTTTGATGTGACCTTCCACTACAACTGGTCAGATCTTCATGTAGTGGAGACCATCGAAAGTTTAAAAACATGAAATTAAATATAGATCTGTATTGTAATCAGATTGTGACCATTCTTGCTATAATAGTTCAAAGACAGATAATGAAAAAAGAATATATTGAAAATTTCATTCAAACTACATCCTTCTGAGCAAAGTTGTGAGTGTAGCATAGATTGTTTATTATCATTACAACGGTAATGAGGATAAGTCTCAATCATCCATTTTATCATTAAATTTCTAAATCTGGCAAGTGTTCTGATCCAGTTAGGTCTAGACAGTTGATTATAGGCTTGTCATGTGAATAAATGTCTAAATAAAGATCAGCAAGAGCCAGATTTAGCTCTTAAATAATGTATCTTTAATAGTATACAGTTATAAACTTACAATATCAACATCTACCACACTGGCTTTCTTTTCTTTCTCAAATCTCTCTCTTAGCTGAACAGCAAATTCATCTACAAAATTTAAAACAAATTTTTAACTTTTCTAAATAGTGTCCAAAAGGATTGGGGGCTTAACGCCTGTAATATAACAACTCTTCCCGATCCTGTACAGACAAAGTAAAACAAAATTTTGAACTATAAAAATGAAACGAAATAGGATCTGTGTTTTAATCAGATTGGCCTGTCTGTTAAATCTATGTTGACTTACTTAATGAACCTTGTTGTAAGGTACTGGATTCTAATCTTTGTTTCCATGCATCTTGACAACTGTAGGCTTCAGATAATAAATATCTTCTAGCTGTTGGGGAAAATATGAAAGCATTAATCAGATATTTATACAAGACTATTTGGTGGGAATGTACCATCTTCCTAGGGGTCATTTCGAGATATGCGCCATCTTGACCATTGCGTCTGTTTCAACTGCTGACAAGGACAGTTTAGACACGCCTACATCGATCTCTTCAACTGAATTACCAAATGACATTGTGACGCTTTTTCATACAAGTGCTATAAATCTGAAAGTAATTATGAGAATTCAGAGAAACCTAAGTTACTTAATTACTAATGTAAACAATGTACATGTATCATGTATACAAATTTGAAAAATCACTCCATCGAACCATGTGACTTCAAGAAGTAAATTATTTTCATATCTTAAACTGCTCTATTTATTACTATCGATTGGGGCTAGCAGAACTGAGTAAAGTAGTATCTAGTGGTCTAGATGGTTTGAGCATATTCTGCATCTTGCGGGGTACCCATCTCTGATTTCATCTGGTCTAATGAAGACGGGCATACGCCATGCAGTAATTTGCTGGGAACTTTTATCTGGACAGCAGCATTGCCTCTCTGCTTAAATGGAAGTCTTGATGTAATAAACATTTAAACGATAATGTGTACATGCATGTATGCATAATGATTCGATTGTTCTTTCCTTTTTAACTTTTTTCTTTTTTTTTGACGTAACGTTCAAATAAAAGTCAGAATAGTCTGATTAAAAAGAGATTTGAGTGTGCAGGACATTCTGCAAGGACCAAAATATAAATTGCATCTAGTGCCCTTTTACTGGCAATGTTTACCAGAGAATGATACGCCTTTAGTGCTCAATTTAACATGTTTTAAGGTTGAACAGCACGTTTTCCAAACACTTGCTGCCATTTTGCATTTGGCTAACCATTTATGCTTTCAATAAACCAAAGATCCTAAAGGGAGGTAATTTTTGCATTCGGGCAACATTGTTTTTCTTCCAATAGGCTTTATCTTCAAATATTGATAAGCTTAGACTAGAAAAACAAGCGAACCAGTTTTATGGCTGTTAAAGAGAATTATGAGTGTAAGTAACAGGATCCTCGTCCGGTTTTCCATATATCTCAACGAACGATACTGTCCATACTATATGACTTTTGACGTTAGACTTACGGTTAGACGGCGACGACGACGGCCTTGACCTGTGTTAGCCTTGAAAAAGACGTCATCATGGCGCCGATCAGAATATTTGTTTATTTTATAAATTAGTTTCTTTTTATAAATTGTACGAATGAAATCAGACCACATTAACAAAATCTATGTATTTACTGCAGGGTTTTGCACTGGAATAGTTCTCTATATTTGGTACATTCACAAACGACTAAGTCTTAAAGATACCTGCAGGGTACGTGTGCAGATTTTTAGTAACATTTAGTTTGTTTTTTCTGCCAAGTTGAAGTTCTGTCATCTCCTTCTGCTGGTGTACACATGTACTTCTGAGACTCTACTTGAGTATCCTAATCTATTTCCTTTAAAAATGTTAGACTAGTTGCAAATGCATTTTAATAAATAAAACAGAAAGCACCTATGCCGATTGCAACCGCAATCCTACACAGTCCCTGGTCACAAACATAAAACGAAATATAAAGTAGGCCTACCATAACGAAAATTTTGTTGATGGTATTAGGGCAACCCTTTGGACTTAGCAATGATTGTTTAGTGTGAGAATATTTTGTTAAGAGTTCTCAATGAATAATGTTCAATAACATGCTAGTAGCCTTTCAAACTGGCATGCTAGTAGCCTTTCAAACTGGCATGCCAGTACTACAGGGCGAGTGTAATGAGACCTACATTCAGAGCTGAACTAGCATTCCAGTAGCCTTTCAAACCTTTAAAATGCCTTCTCGTTTATTTTATTTTTTTTAGCCCACAGTCCAAAATAAAAAACACGAAAACAACTTTCTCAAGATTTCTGAGAGTTTGGAGAGCATTGGTGACGGAAGTAGGCAAGATCAGGATTGTTGGGTTACCTCCCCTGTTTTCAAATATGTTCAAAAGTTATCCTGTGGTAACAGTATTGGTACTGATGATACAGATGTGAAGTTATTGGCGATTAATCCGTATGGCGAAGTAATACGCGAGGTTATTGAACAAGAAGTCCAAACCCCGGAACCGTTACCTTTTGAATCTCTTGAAGTGGTTAAAAGTCTCTTTGACGACATCTACTTCAAACCTCTTCACTCTTTCATCAATGATAATCATAAATTGTTAGATAACATTTCATCCATTTCAAACAGGTTTAATTTGAGAGGAGCAACTCAAAGTGAACCAAGGTTGCCATCAACTTCAGTATGGAAAGAATTACTCCCACCGGCAGAATGTTCAAATATAAAGAAAAGCACACAATGCAAGAATTCTGCAAGTGCCCCAGTTACAAAGGAAACAGATTTTAAGAAATTTGCTGATAAACATTTACGACTACCGAGTACTTTGTTTATTACGCCTTATCCACTGCACATGGTGTACAGAAAATTAAAATATCTAAAACATTCTGAATTTGGATATTGTCATTCTGTGATCCTTACAGAGAAATCAACATCAAGGCACTTCAAAATATGGAGGACAGACAATAAAAAACAATCTTATATGGACTGGAATTCTATTTACAATTCTGATTACCTGCAAGAACCAAATATGCCAATTAAATTTCAAGAAATATTTGCGTTGATGATGGCCGACTCTATAAGTGATGAAAGCTGGATGACTAATTACTACATACCAACTACTGAAGTAAATAAGGAGATTGTTACAGTTGAAGAGTTGACTTGTTTCAAAGTCTTTATAAAACCATTATTATATGATATTAATTCCAGGATTTCGTGTATTTTAAATGAATATTATAAGATAAATGAAAAGACACCAAGGAATTATATATATTTATTATAAACTATTGTTTAATATTGAAGCTATACATAATAAAATACAATTCAACATCAATCGATTACACTTTTTTTTTTAATGTTTATATCTTTTTGATCTAGTAGAATATACAAAGTTTAGAGTTTCTGACTGTCATTTGAGGAATTGAGGAATCCCTTGCAAAATACAATATTGGAAAAATTGAATCTCTAAAAGAAACATCAGTCTAAAAGAATTTAATTCCATTCAATATTTACAAAGATATAACGAATTGGAACTTTGTTGCTTGTATTTTAGAGGAGAGCTGAAAAAAGCTGCCCTTAATCAACAAATTGAAAAAAATCGCTCCCCTAGAAAAGCTCGCTCAGTTTTGATAAGAAGAGTGATTTAGAAATTAAGGAGAGTGGTCTGAAATTAAGGAGAGTGATTAGTTGTGTGTATGGGAAATGGTTCTGAAGATCAATAACTGCATGTAATGGGGTCATTCCTGGTTTCAGAAATGATGAACCCCCAATGACTTTGTAAAGGAGAGCGATTTTCAACTTTACGGGGAGGGAGAAAAAGAGAAAAAGCTCCCATTGGTCGAGATTCAGGTGAGCGGCAGGCACTCAAGAGCAATCGCTCACCTGAAAAAACAACGACAGGATTTATGCTGAAATCATTTAATGGGCCTCTTTGTTTATCCAATTGAATGCAAGCTGCGTGATTACCTACTAGTGATGTTTTGATTTCGTTTTTCTTAAACATACATTATGCAAGAACTAAATCTGCCTATTGCAGGTCTTTCTTTAGGCCTGAAATGTTATATAAACTATTAATTAATTTGAATGAAATTTTACATTATCTATTTTGGCGCTATTATAGCAAGAATGGTCAGCTCTTTATCTAAATCTTACATAATGTATCTTTAATGAAAAGTTAAATAATCCGTCTTGAGTATATTTTAGTGTGCATTAAGCCGTGAAATATTAGATAATAGAGAGGTTCCGCAACCAGTACGAACTACGAACATCTGTTTCCGCCAAAATGCGAAGTCCGAAGTCTGATGTTTAGTTCCACAGATGTCGCCCATTGTTTAGTTTGATTTAATAAAAAATATCAAATCAAATCAAATTTTAGTCTTCATGAAGCTCATTGCAATGTGTTGTGTTTTTTTTGTTTTTTTTATAAAAATTCAAGATGATTCGATCTCATGGCTGACTGTCAAAAAAACCCAAATATCACAGCCCGAAAATTTTCCCAAAATGAGAACAATTGCCGACTAATTTGACGCTGATAAACTTTCTACTGAATTTTAAATGTTCAAACTTTCTATAAAACCGCAAAAATATGAATGTCATCCACAAATCAGCGAGAAAATCACGATTTCGTACCTCGTTTTTTAACCCCGAACTTTTCTACAAATCTTCGTAAAAAATGGAAAAACCGAACGCCGCTTATGTCAATGACAACACATGAAGTGATGACGTCAGCACAAAAAAACCTTTGTAGTTCAAAGTTTGTACTGGTTGCGGAACCCTCTCTATTGTCGGATAAATACAAAGTACAATCAGCAACTTTAAATTACAATTTCACCAATTTTGTATCAAATTAAATCACATTAACATCGTACTCCTATATCAAAGACGAACTGAACTGTCAAGGATTATTTTACATGTGCACCAATATGTACACAGAACCTCAGGTTATTGTCCCATCTGAACAACTAAGCAGCTTTCCTTGTCAGGCACTCCATCCTGTGACACTGGCAAGCGGAAAATGTGCTAGAAAACCCTGAGGTACTTACTCGGCCAACACCGGGAGCGAATCCGAGACCTCCAGGCGAGCGAGCCAGCAGCTTCTTACTCACTGAGCCACTGCAGTAGTCCATCAAAGTAACAATACACACTAAATTTCTGATGTCACGTTAAAGGCTCAATACCACTCTTGTTGTAACAGAATTATATGTCCCAATCTTTATTCTGGTCAACAAATTGTACTATTTTACAATATTCCAATTAATTGATGATACAAATTTCAATCTACACCTAATTTAAAAAATTGGAAAAATGCAACTATATGATTTGAAAAGCCTAACGTAAACCTTTCCAAATGTGACTTGGATTTAAAAATATTTTAGAACCCTCGGGACAAGTAAAATAGGATGTAATGGATAATTTACACAACAGGTAGGACACATAAACATCTAATACTTAGAATAAGGCTATTATTTATTTTCTGGCGCTGTCAAGCCAGCAAGAGTGTTATTGTCCCTTTAACTACATGTATAATATAATGTAACAATAGCCCCAGAGAAAATATTAAAAAATGTGAAATTACTTTAAAAGCAGACTTCCATACAATAGACAACAAAATCAATATTGATACAAAATTTTAAAAGAGAGACTGCCTATGTACATGCCCAGGAATTACATTATGTACACATATTAACAGGAGTAGGGTCGCCTGTCCAACCTAGTGGGTTTTCTCCGGGTCCTCCGGTTTCCTCCCACTGCTAAAGACCCCTACGCGCAAGCGAATTATTGAAATAAAATTGAACCATGTGTTGGTCCCAAAATGACCTAGTTTGTGTCGAGTGAGTGGATGTTAAACCTCATTTCTCTCTCTCTCACATTATGTACGTGAAATGAAATGAAATGGATTTTAACGTCCTACTGTTCTGCTCCTAAAATTTCAATGATTTTAAGACAACAAAGGGCCATAATTCAATAAAACATTAACAGAATCCCATGGAACGTGAACTTGATCTGTAATTATTCATGATCAGCTAAATAATGCGTTGTACCAAAATTCAAATAAATATTTCAAAGTTTAATTTATAAACTCCCAGAAAACAAAAGATCACAGATGAACGGAGCCAATAGGGGACAATTATGCTTTGATTAAGATAAATATAAGCTGAGAGAAAAAGATATAATATAAGTAATAACATGTGACAATCTCATCACAGTACAAGGGTTGGTCAAGCCAGTGTATCAACTAATATAAGTAATTAACACGTGACAATCTCATCACAGTACAAGAGTTGCTCAAGCCAGTGTATCAACTGATATAAGTAATTAACACGTGACAATCTCATCACAGTACAAGAGTTGCTCAAGCCAGTGTATCAACTGATATAAGTAATTAACACGTGACAATCTCATAACAGTACAAGAGTTGCTCAAGCCAGTGTAAATAGGGGCCTGTTTCACGAAATTTTAAGAAAGACAAAATCCAAATTTTAGTAATTTGAATAATCTGATTAAAACACAGATCTATATTTCGTTTCATTTTTTTATACTTTCGATGGCCTACCCTACATGAAGACTTGACTTGTAGCGATAGGTCGCGTCAGAGGTCATATGAGCGGCTTTTGACCCTATGACGTCAGAAATTTGATTAACCAATTAGCATAGATGTTTGTAATGGATTACCCACAGTTCCATGCAAAACACGTCTAAAGCTTGCCATAACAGACCGTTTCATGCTAATCCCTAACTCCATCCAGAACACGTCAATGATAACAACTCTTCCAGATCCTAGAGTAGTAAAGACAAGTAAAATGAAATTTTGAAATATAAAAAATGAAACGAAATCAGATCTGTGTTTTAATCAGATTGTAATTTGATTGGATAATATTAGATTGATTTTAGTGATTAACCAATCAAAATTGAAGTATCTACCAAAATTTGGATTTTATCTTGTTAAGATTTCGAGAAACAGGGCCCAGGCCCAGTAACACTGTGTAGTACATGACCTCAAGCCAGCTCTGATGTGTAACCAGGCCCAATAACACTGTGTAGTACATGACCTCAAGCCAGCTCTGATGTGTAACCAGGCCCAATAACACTGTGTAGTACATGACCTCAAGCCAGCTCTGATATGTAACCAGGCCCAATAAAACTGTAGAACATGACCTCAAGCCAGCTCTGATGTGTAACCAGGCCCAATAACACTGTGTAGTACATGACCTCAAGCCAGCTCTGATATGTAACCAGGCCCAATAACACTGTAGAACATGACCTCAAGCCAGCTCTGATGTGTAACCAGGCCCAATAACACTGTGTAGTACATGACCTCAAGCCAGCTCTGATGTGTAATCAGGCCCTATAACACTGTGTAGAATATGACCTTAATATAAAGTACCTTGTAAACTATAATATAGTAAAAGTTGAATCACTAAAAGCAATATTAATCCTAAATTGATTCAATTTTGTTCAGTATTTACAAAGATATAAGGACTTAACAAGTTTTCAACAAGCAGAATCCTCTGCAGCTACCTAAAATATTTGGTACCGTTGATATTTGGATTTTCTTTCCTTAAACATGCATTAAATCTGCCCATTACAGATCTTTCTTTACACTGTAAACCAGGTATCGTTTAATTTGTGTATCTAGCACTAAATTCTTTCACATTCGTTTAATATCAAATCTTTGTTTAAAAATTTGTAAAAGCTGTTTAAAATCACCATAAATCGTTTAATTTGTACTTCTGTCGAGTTTAAAGATGAACATTCAATTTTGATAATGAGTGTTCAATTTACAAGTGTTTAATTTCTCAATCATTGTTAAAAAATAAACAACCCAATTGATTAATGATGTATAATGATTTATTTTTTAACATGATCAGGAAATTAAATACTTGTAAATTGTACACTCATTATCAAAATTAATCAGTCAGCTTTAAACTGGACACATGTACAAATTAGATGATTTTTGGTGATTTTAAACGATTTTTACGAATTTTTAAACAAAGATTTGATATTAAACGAATGTGATAGAAATTACTGCTAGATACACAAGATTAAACGATACCTGGGTTACAGTGTTATGTCTTAAATGTTATGTAAATTATTAATCAGACATTTATTAACTTACCAAGACCATATATCAACTCTCAATGTCATCGTATAGTTTAGTTTTTCCACAGACTTAAATCCGATCTGCATTTCAACCATAATCAAGACCTTGTTTATCATCGTAACAACGGAAGCAATGACAATCGAGATGTTTTATGCCAGTTCTTATGTATTTAACAATTTTTTTGACTGGTCGATGAACATACATGTAGCACAATCATCAAGGGCAGATAATTTGGATGATCCCAGAGATTAGTAAAGTGGATAGGAATGAGACCACTCGGGGTACAGAGGATGATATTATGAATAAATGTTTCTTAGTAAACATGCGAGAGGAGCCAGTCACATGACTGGTCTGGAGATGAGCAAGCGATAAATAAATATCATTTCCATTTCCTTAGAAAATCAAATTTATATTATATCTATCTATATACATGTTACATATAAATGATAGGATAAAATATTACTGATAATTTACATCTTATTTCAACAACCGATACTCCACAATTATATTCTATTATTAACTAGCCCATGTTACTCCCCGGTCCAAGATAATATAGATGCCCCTGATCATCATTTGACCGATTTTTCAATGGAAACCACAATATTTCCAATTTGTCATAGAGGACATCTAAATACAATGCCGAAAAATGGGAGCCATACTAGTTTGGGAAATTAATAATGCCCATGATTATGTAAGTTTGGCAATTTCGATATGAAAAGGCTCACAACACCCATACCAAATGTCAGTACTTTCTTACTGACACCCAAATTATTAAATTATTATATTAGTAGAATATTCCTGCAATCTGATTAAAATACAGATCTATATTATCGTATTTTTTATACTTTCGATGACCTACTCTATATGAAGATCTAACCAATTGTAGTGGAAGGTTACATCAGGTGTCATACGAGTGGCTTTTGACATCAGACATTGATTAATCAATCAGCGTTGACGTTTCTAGTGGTTTACCAAAAAGTTCCATCCAAAAACTCGCCGTAACAGTCCGTTTCATTGGCTAATTCCTCACATCATCCAGAACGCTGGTTATATAACAACTCTTCCAGATCTTAGTGTAGTCAAGACAAGTAAAACGAAATTTTGAACTATAAAAAACGAAACGAAATAGGATCTGTGTTTTAATCAGATTGAGTTTTCCTGTTAAATCTCTAAACTAAATAAACATTTGTATCGTATCTATGGTTACAATACCCTACTTTAGTTTAAACTTCCAAATCTAGCAAAATTATGATTCAAGGTATAAGCACGTGGATTGTCATTGGTTTGACGAGGATTGAAAGATGGATTCGGGACATTCCGTTCACCTGATACGCTTCCTCTTTCTCTGTGACGTTCATCAAGTAGGTAATTTTCACGTATCTTATCTGGATGGTTTGCAAAATTGTAGCGTTGGTAGTTTTCTATGTGGTTTTGCCCAGAAGCGTGCATGTGTTCGGTTTTGATTTGTTGATGTCTAAGTTGTGCGTTCATTTCAGGAGAGCCTTCGTTTAGTTGTCGACTTTGGTACATGTATGCACTTGATGGATCTCTCTGATAATTTTTTATACGATCTTGTCCGGACGTGTTCATGTGTTCAGTTTTGTTTTGTTCATTTCGAACTTGTACGCTCACTTCAGGAGAGCCGGCATTTATTTGTGGTGTGTCGTACATGCACGTATTAGATGCCGCTAGCTTTTCAGAAAGGTTTTTTTCGCCGTCTGATTTTTCCACTTTAACTACCGGTACTTTTGCGATCTGTGTGGTATCATGATGTTTGACTTTATGGTTGACAAGGTGATATTCAGAAACAAACTTTTTCTGACAAATAGTGCAGCTGAATTCCTGCTTCTTCTCGTGTGTTAGACGATGTCGTTTGAGTTGACTGCTGCTGGTGAAACATTTCTCACAACTGTCACAGGAATATGGTTTCACACCTGAAATATACACAAACAACAAAATATTAACATATTTCCATGACAACAGGAGGGGTTGGCATAGGTTTTCTCCGATTAGCTCCCAGCGTTTTGGATGATGTGAGGGATTAGCCAATGAAACAGTCTGGTACGGCAAGTTTTTGCCGTGAGGTGCACAGAACTGTGGATAACCCACTAGACACATCAACACTGATTTGTTTATCTAAGTCTGACATCATAGGTCAAAAGCCGCTCATATGACCTCTGACGCGATCTTCCACTACAACCAGTCAGATCTTCATGTTGTGTAGGCCATAAAACGAAATATAGAACTGTATTTGAATCAGATTGGGGTTCCATCCCAGTGTTGGCCCAGAAAGTTTGACTGATCAGTGGTGAAAGACTGAGGGCCCGGCAAGAAAGGGAAGATGGCATGCAAGTTGAGCCCTTGTCAGTTGAAATTTGATGTGAGAGTCCACTCGACACAAACTAGGTCATTTTGGAACTAACATATATATGGTTCAATCTTATTTCAATAATTCGTTTGCGCGTAGTGGTCTTTAGCAGTGGGAGGAAACCAGAGGCCCCGGAGAAAACCCACGAGGTTGGACAGGCAACCCTACTTCTGTCACGTACAAACAGGGATTCAAAACCATGCCAGTTGACTCAATGACAGGCCTTATGATACAGCGCACACATGCTAACCATTTGGCCATCCAACCCCCCATATATAGAAAATCTGATTTACCAGAGTAAACAAAGATGTCAGGGATCCTCAGAGATTTATATTATAATCAAGCCTGGAAATATGGCACCTGTCACAGACAATGTCAGGCACAGATTCAGGCTTTGTCAGGTACAAAACTGATTTGTCTTTTTTATTGATATTATTAATACAAGTCTGGCACTAAGTTGAAAATGTCAGGTACTATTTCATTTGTGCCTGACATCTTGTCAGGTACATCTAAAACCGTTATTTCCAGGCCTGATTATAATATATTCTACGACACACTGATCAGCAGTGAATATTTGCTTGGCCGTGACAATCACTGATAAGGATGACATTGATGCAACTTAATGAGCCACAAATATTAACTTTTTTCCTTCAACAAATTAAATTCTAAAACATTTTTTTTCATGGATTAGAAAAATAAAGACATTTGACGTATTTGTATGTAAAAATTATTTCCTATTTAGTGTAAATGGGTATTAAAATGAGTAAAAGGCTCCATTCTGCCCGAATCAGTAAGGTCTTATGTAAACAATGCATGCGCCATTGTGATATGTTGTCATGTGTTGAAGGCAGTCATCTTTTACAGAGATATTAGAAGACTTTCGTAATCCTCTGTCAAACAGATTGATTCTACGAGTGTAAAAACTGTTGGGAACCATTGTGTTGTTTTTACCTGTGTGAGTTCTGTCATGTAGTTTTCTTTTTTCCGAACTACTGAAGCCTTTGCCACATGTTCCACAAATATACGGCTTTTCTCCTGTGTGTGATCGGATGTGAACAGTCAGTTTATGTTTCCTCACAAACGATTTCCCGCAAGTCGAACAAATAAACGGTCTTTCTCCAGAATGGGTGTATTCGTGGCGCGTTAAATGATGAGAGCGTGTGAAACTCTTTAAACACGTCATACAAACATATGGCCTGTCACTGTCGTTACTTTTCTTTGTGACTGGACGCGCCAAATTTACTTTGAGAAATCCTGACGATGCCTTGGTTGGCTGCTCAGCTTTCCTTTTATTCTTTTTAGACGTCTTATCGCTGGAACTGCTCTGCTGGGAAGAAGTTCCATCCGAGTCCTTCCCGTCATCTACATCTTTTAATAAAGGAACACTGATTTTAAGATCTTTTCCATCTGTAGTGTTGATAGTTCTGTTGTCCATGTGAACAGGATTCTCAGTGGTTGGAAACAGTTTTGGAAAGTCAATTGTATGATTCGCCTCCATTTTAGTTATATCATAAAATTTTCAGCCATTGACTTGATAAAATCTCCTGAAATTAGCAAATATATGAATTAGATACATGCATGATGCCGAGAACTGCAAATAAAATTCATTATCTAAATCATCCATCATAATTCACTGTAATCCGGGTATCATTTAATCTTGTGTATTTAGCACTAATTTCTTTCATATTCATTCAATATCAAAATCTTTGTTTTTATAAATTCTTAAAAATCGTTTAATAAAATTATCAAAAATAAAATCACCAAAAATCATTTAATTTTAAACAAAGATTTGATATCAAATGAATGTGAAAGAAATTAGTGCTAAATACACAAGATTAAATGATACCCGGGTTACAGTTATTTTTATCACTATAGCCTAAGCATCTCGTATTACAGTCCGACATCTGACTCTCCTGACTTTTTTGCAGATATCAGATGGCAGGGGCACCAGAACCCGGGTACCAGGGTATACAAATGGTACCCTGCCCTTTTCTGGGGTATACATGTACATTTATACCCATGCCCTAATGATGAAAGTTTTCAACATTTTTACTAGCCTATTCATTTGTGAATAATCAGGCTTTTGTCTCTTTCATTATCATGTATTTTAAAGGGTTTTATGTTGGAATTTGGAATGCTAGAGGCGCTCTAAACAGCGTTCTCGGAATTGACAAATTTCAAAATTTTCTAGAGGCTGGGGGACAGAACCACCCTGGACCCGCCCCCCCCCCAATCTTTTGGTACCCTGGCCATCGCGCCGTTCCGGCACCCATGTCAGACGTGGTCTGATAGGCTTTGCTTTATGGGAATATTTGCACGCTTCCAATTTTCATACAACTGTAAATATATATAGCTTTTCAACATCAACACACTCGACTCTCTGTACAATCAAATTGGTTAAGACTACGATAGAATTCTGACATTGTTTCATTATTTTGTTACTTGTCATTACTTCTAGTGAGTATATGTTCAACTTGGACTTAAGATTTAGTTCAGGGTATGATTTACTCTTCCTTGATAAAAGAGACCACACTAATCCGCAGTGAATATTCGCTAGGCCGTGACAATCACTGATAAGGATGACATCAAAGCGACTTAATGAGCCACAAATATTAACTTTTTTCCTTCGACAAATTAAATTCTAAAACATTTTTTTTTTATATATTAGAAAAATAAATAAAGATGGTTTGAAGTATTTGTAGGTAAAAATTATTTTTCTATTTTAGTGTAAATGGGTTTGCAAAATGAGTAAAAGGCGTCATTCTACTCGAATCAGTAGTGTCTTATGTAAACAATGCATGCGCCATTGAGCCAATGACTGACGCCGCGTGATATGATGTCATGTGTTGAAGGCAGTCATCTTTTACAGAGATATTAGAAGATTTTCGTAATACTCTGTGAAACAGATTGAAAAGACACTAGAGAAGTGAACGAATGTATCAATTCCAAGGACCGTGAAGAGCATGTGTACAGTGAATGTTTTGTGGGGGAATAAAATTGGTCTAACAACTTTGGCCTTCTCTCTCACCTTGTTAAAATATCAATCACCATATATGTAAAAGAAAAGGGAATAACATATATAGAAGGTACCAGCTAAATCTGTTTGTTAAGGCCAGCTCAATTTTCGTCACGGTCGCCGAGATGTAAAGAAGGCTGTGGCACGTGATTGTTGGCGAGATTGTAGGTTTGGGTTAGGGTAAGCATTGGGGCTAGGTCCAGCGTTAATGTTAGGGTAGTGATTGGCGCTATTGCTGTTTACATCTCGTGACCTTTGACCAAACTTGAAGTTGGCCTTATCAAATAGATCTAGTGGGTTGATGGTAATGAAATGCATGATTTCGGTCTACTCAAATTTGGGTTTACTTTTTTTAGTACCGAGGCTTAGATTCCAGACCTTGAGCAAAGCCATTGTCATCTTTGTTTGCTCGTTTGTGAACCATTCAATATAAGGTTTTATCAGGTGTTCCGAACAAAGAAAGCATACTCCGCCTCGTGCATGATACTAAATAGAAATATAGCCTGGGCAAGGTCTTGGGCTACGATTTGTGTGTTTTCTTTCACCAAAATAACATACATTATCAACACAGCAGGGGGGTTCCAGTTCGGACGTCTGTCCATTGTTATCGAGTGATACTGATCTATTTTTTAGGTGTAGAGAGATAATTTCAACACCAGTCGATAATACAGCTTGATAATTATATTGATATCAACAAATATGTACAAAATCCTACTGTGTAAATTCTTTCTCTTGACGCCCTTACTCCAGCTTAGGGAAGTCGGTTCATCCAATCGTCGAAAGGAATCGCGGAGTGACTTTGGATTGCGAATCGGACCATTAAATAGAGTTGCGTCCCTTTGACTATATATTTCTAAAAGACGATCGTTGAACTCATTTTAACCATAGACATAATAATAATATAGACTGCTTCATCCAATGACGTCAATATGGACAATAGTGACGCCACAGGAAGTAGAAAATCCGCCATCTTCCGCTACCCCACATGACGCCATTGTTCAACGTTGCCGTATGTAGGTTTGCCGATAATGCCGTGTTATGTTGCATTCAAAAGCAGCCACAAACTTTCCATTGTGATTTTATCATTTCATACGTGAGTAAGTGGAGTAACAATCATATTTAGTCGAAAATATGGTGAGTTTAGCCACGTTTCACGTATTATTATTTGCTCACAAGACAAGACCGACGTTCACGTTGATTTAGAATTTAGGCCTACATCCGATTCCCAGCTTTTACAATTATTACATCGTAGAGCACAGGAATCTGACATTCTATCCGTATTATATATGCATACACCACACCGAACTAGACAATATATAATTTATTATATATATATTGTCTAGTTCATTATGGTGTATGCATATATATACGATTAGAAGGTCAGGTTCCTGTGCGTAGAGGTAGAAATAAAGGAGAAAGAAATTAATGAATGAAAGGAATAGTAAAGGAAAACATACTTTACAGATTAAGGCCAAGCATAAAGCCATAGGCCTATTCTTCTAAAAACCTATATGATGTTTGTGATGTATTTCTTATACACGCCTATGTAAATGGCCTAATATTAGGAAAACAAATGCTATAAAATTACAGACATAACAACCAGGGGCGTGCTGGCAGGGAGTTTAAGAGGACGGTGTCCTCCCAGGCTCCCATTAAGCAATAAGTCCACCCGTATAAGCGGGCCCCCCGAGAGCTCTAATTTTCACGCGGAATCCCCTCAAAAAATTGAGAGTGCGCACACAACGATTAGTAAACTATATTATGCTGGCGTGCAAATGTCTGTCACCTTAAGGTGAAATGGTCTTTGATACATGTACAGTGGACTCTGTCACATCCGATCTCTGATCACTCCGGATTGCTGTGACATCCGGTATGATTTTCATGTCCCGATTTATTTCCTTATTACTTCAGCCAAAAAATCGCTGGTAAATCCGAATTCTGTATGTTCCGGATTCCGAAATCAATCAGCCGTCCCGTCACATAATTTCCATTGAATCGACACCGTATAATCCGTACTTCAAACGGTGGGTGTGAAGCATCCAATTATCGGTGAGATTAAAACTCAATGGGTGTGAAGTCAGAAAAGATTAACAAGTAATCACCAATCAATTATCGGTGAGATTAAAACTGTGTTGATTACTTTGATCGGTAAAGCAGTGAACCCGGGTTGTTTTAAGGGAGTGGACAAGATCCACCTGCCAGTCAATTGGTCGGCCAATCGCAAAGCTTGGATGACAGGTGCGGTTTACTTTGATTGGCTTGAAAAACCGGACATAGAACGACAGATTATAAATGACAATTGACTGAAGACGGGGACGATGAAGAATATATATTAACGACAGACTTGACCTTTTCAAAATTCCTACGCATGCTCAACGACATTAAACACTTCGCACAGATTAAGGACGAAAAGATGATCGCAACAATTCATTTGTTAGAAGATGTTGCCCAGGACTCCGCCTTACGATATGCTTCCGGTAATCTTAACTAAGCAAACTACTTTAAACGATTACATGCATTGATATTTATAAATATATTGTACGCATGCATTGATATTACATGTAAACGATTTATGAATATATTGTACGCATGCATTGTTATTGTTAATTATTTAATATAATAAAATTTTGAAAGTACAAAAAATACTTCCGGTTTTCGGAGTTACAGTATTTCCGGTTTTGGAGAAAACTCGGTATTCCGAAACGTTGTGTGATCCGAATTATTGTAACGATCCCGCACGATGTCGGATGTGACAGAGTCCACCGTATTCATGTCTCGATATGTATAAGAAGCAATTTATTATTTGGATAGAAATACATTGTATTAGCATTATATTAAGCAGACCTGTCATGAGTGTCTTGTGTAGTACAGTAGTATGTCTTATAGTCAAAATAGCAGCATAAATTTGGAAAATATGATACCTAGATTTCTCCCAGAAGTGCTTCCAAACGCGTTTCCCGTTGTCAAATTTCAAAAATTTTCGGCGGGGAGAACCAGACCCCCCTACCAGCGGCGCGCCTTCGGCAACCGACGGGCCTGATAACAACAATGTGCATTTTTCTCTTAAACATAATTGGATTTAAGCCTAAATGTAAATATCGATAAGCTTATACATATGGATAGGAAAATTTGACGCTTATTTTGATCCGACAGCCTTTTTCCAACTTTTGATTTGTTTATCCCCCATTTATGATCAGGGTTAGGATTATATAGTGGAAATAGCGCTGATGAAAAAAGGTAGTCGGATCAAAGATAATCGCCAAAACTTGCATAGGATTATGTCAAATTTTCCTAGGCTCCCGGACCTATTCTCATATGTATAAGATTATCCATAGTTACAGTTTATTGCCGGTACTTTTTTATATAGATTAACGGCTCTAAATTATTTTACACTATGAGGTGACATGGAGTCACATACAATAAATGGCCTACATATATTGTGCATTTCTAAAAACAATTTGACATGGCCCTATATAAGGCCTAATTTTAAAAAAAAAACATTAAAAATAATATTGAAGAGATCATAACCAGCCTCCATATCTTGTGCTGTGGACACGTTAGAGATCATAATTTTTTATCCGATTTTGATGAAAATTAAAATGTATGTTTATATCCCATAGATCTCGGGCCTGTCAATATTCGCGCATATCGAGCCTTAACTTTATAGATTTAATATGGAAATCACGTTTTTAGCTTGTGGACCTTCTAGGTCACAATTTTTATTTGATTTTAAAAATCGTTCAAATATATCACTGTTGCCCGATAATGACTGTTGAGTTTGAATTTCGTGAAAATCGGGCCAAAACTGACAAATAGACCGCTCCCCATGTGACGATGCTAAGGGTGTGAACTCTCGATATTCATTGGTTGTATCGGACCGTAACTTTATGGATTATAGCCCCGGATTTTCAAAAGTTCACATTTTTAGCCTGTATAGACTCTCTAGATATCACAATTTTTATTCCATTTTGATGAAACTTAAAATATAATTTTATGTTTATACTCCAAAGACCTCCGTTGCTTTCTATATTGAACCATGTCGGACCCTAACATTCTGGAGTGGATTATGACTCCTGACTGTACGAAAATTCACCTTATTAGGGTTTCACACTGCGTAGCCACTATTGTTTTTGTTCGGATTATTCTTCTTCTTATTATTATTATTATTATTATTATTTTCCCATTTGAGCATATCTCAGAAACTACTTGTCGGATCGATTCGATGTCTTCGGTTTTACTGGGAAAGTGGGTTTGACTTAAATTTTAAAGCTATTTCCAACGTTCTGCGACAATGCGAAATGTCCGAAATCACCGAAGTTGTCGTTTTTCGATATTTGATACATTTTGACATAGCCAGAGAAAAGGCACATAGCTAAGGTACTTTGGATTTTTTATTTTCGACGAATCTTCATAGATATTAGGCGCCAAATTTTGAAAATTTAAATTTTTACGAAAAATTTTTTTATTAATGAATATTTTTATGTGGTATTTTACCAAGGGTTAAAGGGTCATCTGATTTGACAAAAATGTCAACATTTTTTGTCACCGTATTTTTCCTTGGCCCCCATTGGCTAATTCAGTTTTTCAGTCCTGGATTAATTATTTATTGTTCGATTTGTATAAAACAATGTTCATATGTTCCGCGGTCCAAAATGTCATTTTTTTTGTTACCGGTACATTTTCCTTTCGATAACGGAAATGACGTAAATTTAGCAAAAACTGCAACTTTGACAGTTCGGTACCACTTTTTGAAAGCAAATATTATTTTTTTCAAATCTGGTATGACTGAAAGGGTGTGCCCTGATAAGGCGCAGAAATCATCGCGCTCAGTTTTTTTAATTTTTATTTCGTTTTCGGATCATTTCGTTTTAACGGCGAAAAAAGGTGAAAAAATGAGCTATTCACAACCCATTCAGACTTTTCATATTTTAATATATTTTTTCGAAACTTTCATAAACTAGTAGCAATAATCCATACGAAGAGAATGTATGTGAAAATTAGTTTGTAATATGAGCAGTTGCCGAGAAATGGGCAATTTTGCATGAGTCACCCTTTACGCTAGTTTGCCTGTAAAAGAGTCAATTATTATTCGATTTTCATAAAAGTGACACCATTTGATGCGTAATGTCAATTTTAACAAGGTCAAACCAATTTAACATTTCCAATGTCAAGGGAAATGACGTAATTTAGGCAAAAATTGTATTTATAGCCTTCAAAACCAGTATTTTATTCAAATGAGTCGTATTTGTTATTTGTTTAAAATTTTGATATTTGATCCCAATCAACCAATAGAATGAACCCATACGATCATATAGGTATCACAAAATGGTTTCTAACTTGTTCAGTTGTTCAGATTTTCAACAGGTAACTTTTCAAGGTTTTTGGTCCATAAAAGTGTCAATTATTATTCGATTTTCATAAATTTTCACCGTGTGATACCTAATGCCATTTATGATTTCATACAAGTAATTTAACACTTTTACTGTCACCGGAAGTAATGTCATTTTGGCAAAAACTGTATTTTTAGCCTTCAAAACAGATATTTTATTCAAATGAGTCTAATTTGTAATGTTTTTAAAATTATGATATTTGATTCCAATCAACAAATAGATGGAACCCATACGATCATACAGATACCCAAAAATGGTTTCTAACTTGTACGGTTACAGAGAAATAGACGATTTTCTACAAGTCCCTTTTCAAGGTTTTTGGTCTATAAAAGTGGCAATTATTATTCAATTTACATAAAAAAATTTCCATGTGATGCCTTATGCCATTTCTGATTT